TCAGCAGGCTCTCCCAACCGTATTCCCCACGTTTGATGGGATTCTCGCATCTCCATACAATCAATCACCATTCACGATCAGCCTGTCTCACAACAGGTCCCTTACCCTACCCTCAGCTCTGCAAAAACGCACAAAATGAAGAGAAAAGCCTGGCTCCGTACAGTCCCTCCGCAGGGGCCAGGCAGGACCAAGCCGAGGGCTCCACCTCGGGTGCCAGGAGTCCCAAGGCTGTATCGAGTCTCAGGATTGCATTTTCGCTAAGCTTCAAGAAAAGTAACTCAAGAGTAGACATTTGGGTCCCAGGTGACTCCTATAAGTCAAGGGCTGATAAAAATCAACGGGCGAGACATTCCAGCAGAAATTACTGTGCAGCCTTCACAAAGGGAATTGTTGTAAGATCTACTATTTTAAATAAACTTCAGGTTTATTTTCAGATGTTAGCAAGCACCAGGGAGTTACGGAGCTGCTGTTCCTGGAAGTTCTTCAATTTAATTATTTCACTCTTTAAGAAGCTTTCCCCCCCTCTCTGTAAGATCCTGCAAAGCCTGTACCTTTGCGGTACTCCGGCTTGTAAAGGAGGCGATTTCCTTGTCTTCTCACCACATATCATCAAGGCTTTACTTACAGGTGGTGACAAGCAAGTTTGCGATCTAAGCTTCAAAATAGAAGGCATCCACTGTGGTTCTTAGACCTCTGCTTAAGCAAGCCTGGCAGCAGAGAGGAGAAAAGCATCTCTTTCTAGAAAGGCTTTGCGCTTCTAAATACACTTTGCGTTTCTAAATCCACCTTGCAACAGCTGCCGAAGCGCGGTGCCGCAGCCCGCGTTCTGCCCCGACTCATCCCCGCTAGAACAACGTGGGCTCCTCTATTTGTGGCAAGCAGCACAGGCTGGCCAGAGATCGCTGGGCCAGTGCTCCCAGTTGAGGGGGGATGGAGGCAGGGAAGGGTTATCTCAAGCGTCGGTGACTAACGCTAAGGAAACCCGCGTGGGAGAAGAGGTAAGGGAGACAAGAACATCTCAAGAGCCACAAGCCCTCCTGCCTCGGAGACGCCTTCCTAGAGCCTGGCTCAGCCGACAGCCCCGAGAAACCAGCATGGGTCTTTCCGCGTACTCCCTAAGCAGAGCCCAGTACATACCAGCTTCATCAACAGGCAGTTCGTAACTTTTGCATTGTATTTTTCAATTCTCTGTTTGATCTCTTGGATGGTCGGAGGCTCGGGTTTTTCTTCTTCTACCGTTTGCGTTACATTCTGAAATCAGAAGAGACAGGCTTTAGCTGGTTTATATATTGGGTAACACCGCGTCAGCTCTGCTTTTGCTTGGGAAATGCAGGAACAAAGAGGCTGCACGGCTCCTGAGCTCACGCTGGCAGCGACGGCGCAGGTGGAGATGTCCCTACGGCCAAGAGGCTCAGCGTGGGGGATGCCGTGTCCCTGCCCCAAACCGCCCCTCTGCACCAGTAACAGGCAGCGGGGGGTGACACAAACCCCACCAGTCAGTGGGACACCGAGGCACAGAGCGGTAAAGACATCCCTGTACAAAGCAGGGCAAAAGAGCCCAGCCTCTAAAACCCGCCTTCAAAAAAGCCACCCGCACCTGCTGAGCGTTTGCTTCTTGCAATGCAATTGGGGGAAAAAAAAAAAAAAAAATTACATCCTATTTCCAGTATTCACGTCTCTGCCTACCCAAGCCAGGCACCCCCTTAAAGACCAGGGTGCTCCTCAACCAGCTCCCAGCAGGTTTACCCAGGCAGAACCCGAAGTTAAATCTCTGCTGGATTACTCCTCCTTAGCTTTCGAAATTATAGCTCAGAGCAGTAAAATCACACAAGCAGCAAGCTGGCTGCATGACTAATAAATCAGTCCCTGCAAACTCTGTCAACGCATCCCACCCCGTGTCAGAAACCGTTCAGCGT